GAAAAAACAAGCCACCAGGTCTAGGACTTGAACCACAGTTGGTCATGTGGGAGCCCAGTGCCTTAATCATCATACCACCTGCTGGCCCCCGCAACACAAAATTCTTATAACTTCAGAATATTTGGGGACCAGCAGTTAGTGTAATGGCTATGTCGCTGGAATCCCACGTAGTCGACCGCGGTTCGCGTCCCGGACCCGGTGGCTTAAATCTCACGCGGGGTGCGTGTGCATGGGTGCCCAAGATCCCGAGAGGAGAATGGAGGAGAAGGGACTGCGGCGTGGCCATCCCCCGTGGGGGGTGATTTCTCGCTTTCTGTCTGTCTGTCTGGCGAGCGCATGCACCCTGTAGCAAAAACCTCTAAAAAAAAAAAAAAAAAAAGAATATTTGGAGGAAGTTTTGTTCCAAAACCTACCATTTAATTTTCATCTTCAGAAGACACTTCAGCAAACAAACCAGCCCACTATTTTTTTTTCCTAAGAGAGATTTTTGCTATAGGGTGTTTGTGCTCTCTGGAGAGACAGAGACAGAAAGTGTCTCACCATCCCCCGGGGTGGGGGGCTGATTTCAGTCCCTATCGGGAATGGCCACACCACAATCCCTTCTCCAGCCTCCTCTTGGGATCTTGGACACACACTCACAACAGGTGCCTGGTGTGAGTTTAAGCTGCCGGGTCCGGGACTCAAACTGTGAGTTTCAGTGGGGGTCCAGTGACGTAACAGTTATGCCATCTGCTGGTCCCCAGCCCATAATTTTTGTCTAAGCCATTCTTAAAATATTTATCAGTATTTTAAGAGCAAACACTAGACCTTTAAACTTTTAGATTGCAATTTTTTCCGGTTTGTTACGTGTGCAGCAACAGTAGCATAGCAGCCTGAGGCTGTGTGCTCCGGGAATCACGTTCGGACTCTCCACATGAACTGGGGTGGAAGCTAGCTTCCCGGGCCTTTGCTAATTTTTGCTATAGTACAAACCGTGGTTTGAGTCCCAGGCCTGGTGGCTTGCTTTCTCACTGCCCCCTTCTTTGTGAGCATGCATGCCCTATAGCAAATTTAATATAATTATACTAATAATAAATAAAATTAAATAAATAATTCTTAAAAAAAAAGAAAAGAAAACCCCAGTGTTTCCATAAATGTGCATGCCAGCACTAAGCCCACCAGTAGAAACACGGTCCCTGCCTCCCTTCTGCCTTCCAGATCTCACAGAGCAGCTCACTGATGGGCCTCGAGTCACCTGCGGAGGGGCCGGCAGGTGGCATGGTGGTTAGGGGAGCTGGACTCCCACATGGGCGACCACAGTTCAAGTCCCAGACCCTGGCGGCTTCACTTTCCCTCTCTCTCTGTGGTCAAATTAAATAATAATAATAAAGTTAAATTTTAAAAAAATCTTTTTTTAAAAAATCATGTGGGAAACTTAGCTGTAGAGGAACCTGGAAGTGCACTGTTAGTTTTCCAGAAGGAAGTTGGAGAGGATGCCAATATGAATACGCAGATCTCCCCGGGGCCAGCTCTAGAAAGGACTGTCACCAGTGTACACTGTTAAGACACAGCTTGTGTTCAAAACGAGAGGGGGGGCCAGTAGATGGTATAGCGGTTACGTTCTTGGACTCCCTGTGGTTCAAGGCTTAGGCCCGGTGGCTTGAAACTCACGCCAGGCACGTGTGCATGCATGCCCAGGATCCTGGGAGGAGAATGGAGGGGAAGGGATTGTGGTGGCTATCCTCCCTGGGGGGTGATCTCTCACTTTCCTTCTCACTGTCTCTCTCTGTTTCCCTGGTGAGCACATGAGCACATGCACCCTAAGACAAGAACTTCTAAAGAAAAAAAAAAAAAAACACTATAGGCGGGGCCGGCAGGTGGCGTGGTGGCTAAAGCTCTGAACTCCCACATGGCTGACTCTGTTTCGAGTCTCGGACCTGGTGGCTTGCTTTCTCACTTTTCCTTTCTCTTCCTCTGTCTTTCTCAGGTCAAAATAAAAAAAAAAAAAAATAACAATGATGAATAAAATTAAATAAAATGATTATTTTTTTAAAGCCACAGGAAAAAGTTATTCAATAGTTGAATGAAAAAGAAAGGTGCACAATGTAGTGCTAAGGATGACGAATGTATGCATCATACAATGCATACATGCTTTGAAAAACCACATTATACCCCACAAAGGTGGACAGTGCTGAAACATAAATTATAGAGTCAGCCCCGTGACTTAGTGTTAAGGGAGCTGGATTCCATATGGCCGACTGTGGTTTGAATCCCAGCCTTGAAGGTTTGGAAAACACACTGGGTCTGTATGTGCCTGCTCCAAGTCCCAGAAGCAGGGGGAAATGGAGAAGGGACTGTGGCATGACCACACTCCATTGGGGGGGTGCATTCTCTTTCGCTCTGGTGATAGCCTGCCAGATGATCTATTTTGACATGCTAAAAACATCCACCCTTTAGCAATTAAAAAAAAAAAAAAGACAAAACCCACAGAATTAACTGGCCACTACAGAGACCCAGGGCGCTGGACAGTGCTTGCATTAGGTGCTCTTCAGTGTGGCACAAGTAGAGACGCTGCCAAGGAGCTGAGGGATGGAGCTTCTCAGGTGGCAAAACGTTGTTCTCACAACTATGCATTTTGTTCCTCAACTGCAAAAATCCTAGTTCATCCCCAAATTCAGTCCTTCTGTTTTTTTTTTTTAAAGAATTATTTTATTTTATTTATTCATTAATTTATTTTTTAATTTGACCAGAGGGACACAGAGAGAGAGAGACAGAAAGTGAGAAAGCAAGCCACCAGGTCCAGGACTTGAACCATGGTAAGCCATGTGGGAGTGTCTAGCACCTTAACCACCACGCCACCTGTTGGTTCCCCAGTCCTTCTGTTTTAATTATTGTTGCTTCTTAAAATCTTTTTCATAACCAATTTTATTCCTTTTTTAAAAATTTGTTATAGGGCGCATGTGCCTGCTGGAGGCAAAGTGAGAAGCATCTCCAGGAAGAAGGGCCATGCCACAGTCCCTTCTCCATAATGCTCTTGGGATTTTAGGCACGCACACGCACACACGCACACACACACATGCCTGTTCATTTTTCAGGCTCTGGGACTCAAATTATGCCCTGGGTCATCTGGAAACAGCCACCCTGGCTGGCCCAGTTCCTTTATTTGCTTTTCTTCTTTTTTTTTTTCCTTGAATTATTTTTTCTAACTTTATTTAGCATTATTATTATTTTTTTTTTCAGTTTGATCAGAAAGAGACGGGAGGAGGGGGACCGAGTGAGAAAATAAGCCACCAGGTCTGAGACTTGAACCGCAATCGACCATGTGGGAGTCCAACGCCTCTAACCACCACGCCGGCCCCCCAGTTCCATTCTTTGTATACCTCGATGTAATACCTAAAAGCTGTCAGTAGCTGATTTCCACCTCTGTCACCTTTTGCTCTCAGCTGCTCTTCTCTTCATTTCAAGTTCCTTTACTTCGTCCGTTCTTCCCAGCTGCAATGAATCACGCTGCTTTTTAGGAATGCTCAGTGATCTTGGCTCCATTCTGCATTTGTTGCTGCTCAGGCGTTTTTTGGAAGTGGTTTTGCAAGCAGTCTGGGTTGCCAGAGTCCAGACCTCCACATGCGATGGGTAGTTGATGTGTTTGTTTTACTAATACAAAGTATATCTAAACAGTTCTTTGGCTGGTGGTGTTTTCAGGATGTTCAGTTAAGAATTATTTCAGGACTGGGACTAGCAGTTAGTGTAATGGCTATGTCGCTGGATTCCCACGTAGTCGACCGCGGTTTGAGCCCTGGACCCGGTGGCTTGAAATTCACGCCGGGCGCGTGTGCGTGCATGCCCAAGATCCCGAGAGGAGAATGGAGGAGAAGGGATTGCGGCGTGGCCATTCCCCCTGGGGGGTGATTTCTCGCTTTCTGTCTCTCTGTCTGTCTGGCGAGCGCACACGCCCTATGGCAAAAAAACCTCTCCACAGGAAAAAAAAATAAAAAAGAATTATTTCAGGACTGGCTCTATGGTGCAGTGGTAATTGCGGCCCAGGGCAAGCCAGAACCTACATGGTACCCATGGTTCGAATCCCCTGCCCAGTCAGCCTGAACCCTGTCAGGCGTGTGCACAAGAGCCCCAGATCCGCTGGGCTGGAGGCCTGGAGGAAGGGAGGCCACACCTCTCCCTTTCTCTCTCTCGCATTCACATGTGCACACGTGTGTTCTATCACGAAGGAAGGAAAACATTTCATTACTTCATGCACTTCCAACGTTCATTGGAGCGTTATTCATAATAGCCACGTTAGAGTCAACCTACACGTCCACCGATGGATGAGTGGCTGAAGTCAGTGTCCTCCCATACACGGTGGAGTGCTAGCCAGCCTTTAAAAAGGAGACCTTGGGCCCAGCAGCGGCCAACAGGGCACTGGACTTCCACGTGGCTGACTGGGGTTTGAGTCTCGGACCTGGTGGTGGCTTGCTTTCTCATTTTCCTTTTCTCTCTGGTGAGCACGCATGCCCTATAGCAATTTAAGAAATAATATTAATGATGAATAAATTTTTTAAAAAGAAAACATCCAAGACCATTTGAAGCAAATTCTTTTTCTTTGTTTTTAGATTTTTTTGCCATAAGGCATGCAAACTGGCCAGAGATGAGAAATCACAGAAATGAGAAATCACACCCCTGGGGGAATGGTCGCAATGCCGTCCTCACAACTCCAATCTTGTTTCAGGATGTTGGCCATACGCACAAACGCCCGAAGGTTTTTTTCAGGCCACTGGGTCCAGAACTTAAACCACAGGGTCAGCCATGTGGGATCCAGTGCCTAACCACCATGCCACCTGCTGGCCTGCCAGACTGTTTTCCTATTAACCTGATAGCCTGCCAGATTATCTATTTTGACATGCTAAAAAATAAGACCGAATAGATGTTCCCGTATAGGTTGGTTAAATAGATTATGTGTCGTGTGGCTTAGCGGCTGTTGCTGTCTCTTGTTACGGAATCGCATTATAGTAGCTGTCTTATGTCTACAGGGCAGTCCTCCACACAGCCCGGGTCTGACTTGGAGTCTTCCTGTTTTACCCCATTTGATTGACTTAAAGGATTTCAGGAGCGGCATTCATAAATTTCCAGGTATGAGCATTTTAATTCCTGATATTGCGCCTCACTTAAATACATACATTGAAAAGCAGAACTTTGCTCATGTAGATTTTGTATAGCAGCAAACGGGTGGATGGCTTGAAAGTTCACTGTCTACGAATTTCAGCATTCTGATCTTAGCCAGCTCTCCTGTTCCCCTACTGCTAAATTCTTTTCTTTTCTTTTTTAAAAATAATTATTTAGTATTATTGTTATTATTTTCAGTTTGACTAGAGAGAGAGAGGGAAAGTGAGAAAGCAAGTTGCCAGTTCCGGGACTCAAACCGTGGTCAGCTATGAGGGAGTCCAACACCTTAACCACCACACCATCTGCCGATCCTGCTAAATTATTTTCAATGATAACTTTATTTTGACTAATCTCTTAAAGAAATGTAGATAATCCTTAATGTGCGCACGTTTTAATTCATTGCCCCTCTGGTGTGCGAGTTTTTTCCGTCCTACCTTAATTAAAGCCTCGTGTTACTAAGAACTGCAGATTATCTAGGCCAGCCCCTTGATTTGCGGAGCAGAAATCAGGCCTAGGAGGTAGCTAGGAGGTAGCTGCCCATGGACTAACAGATGGCATCATGACATCACTGAACCCAAAGGATTCAAACTCATGCCAGGCGCACATGCGTGTGTGCCCAAAATACTGAGAGGAGACTGAAGGGATTGCAGAGTTGCCATCCTCTCTGTCTCTCTCTGTCTCTCTGACAAGTGCACACACCCTGTAGCAAAAATCTCTCTAAAGAAAAGAATCTGGATTTCCCAAAGCTGTGTTGTACAGATTTGGAGTCACTGTCTGCATTAGTACCCTTCTTGGTAACATAGGCTTACTGTCACCAACCTAACAGGCCATGGTGGGAGACGGTTAAAAGAGTGGATATCGGCCCTTGTACCACTGCCTCTTGACTCTCACCACATCTTTCCTGAAATCCCACCCAAGACCAGCAGGTAGTGTAGTGGTCAAGGGTGCTGAACTTCCACATGGTCCACTGGGGTTCAAGTCCTGGATCTGACAGCTTGCTTTCTCACTTTTCCTCTCTCTGGTCAAATAAAAACAAATAAAAAATAAAGTTAAATAAAATAATTCTTTTTAAAAATACTTCATTCCGTTTGTTGTTATTATTAATTTTTTGAGAGGTTTTTGCTATAAGGTACATGCACTTGCCAAAAAGACAGAGAGACAGAAAGCAAGAAACCACCCACCCGCCCCCCCAGGGGGGATGGCCACGCCACAATCCCTTCTCCTCCGTTCTCCTCTTGGGATCTTGGGCACGCATGCACATGTGCCCAGCGTGAGTTTAAGCCACCAGGTCTGGAACTCGAACCACAGTGGACTACATGGGAGTCCAGCGACATAGCCATTATGCCAACTGCTGGTCCCTTATTATTAATTGTTTTAAGAATTATTTTTATTGAGACCAGCAGGAGGTGTGGTGGTTAAGGCTCTGGACACTCTCATATGGTCGACCACGGTTCGAGTCCTGGACCTGGTGGCTTATTTTCTCACTTCACTTCTCTCTGGTCAAATTAAAATAAATGAATGAAGAAATAAACTTAAACAAAAATAATTATTTTTTTAAAGAATTATTTATTTAATTTAAAGTTGATCAGTGAGGGACAGAGTGTGAGAGAGGGAGGGAAAGTGAGAAAGCAAACCACCAGATCCAAAACTTGAATCGCGGTTCAATGTGGGAATCCAGCAGCCTTAACCACCACGCCACCTGCTGGCCCCTATGAAATTATTCTTTAAAAAAAAAAAGAAGAGAAAGAAGCCCCACCCTTGGCTCACAAGTCGCAGGACTCTGAATTCCCCTAAAGTTACCAGTCTGGAAGGACTGGCTTCTCTTGCCTGTCCTGCTCCATCATCAAGGGCGGTCCTGTGGCCTCGGCTTAGCCCGTCCCGCTGAGTGAGCCCTCATCACTGCACACGCCTGGTCCTTTGTCTCCTGCACCTGTCTTTAAGTCTGACTGTCCCTCTAGCTGCAGTTCAGCATCTCCAGTGGCCATCCGGCCACTTCTACATGGTTCCTGTTCAGCTCAAACCCAGTTTTCCCCTCCAGACTTCCCTATTTCTATTATTGATTTCTATTAAAAAGACCCTAAAAGGACCAGCAGTTAGCATAATGGCTATGTTGCTGGACTCCCATGTAGCTGACCGCGGTTCGTGTCCCGGACCTGGTAACTTAAAACTCACGCCGGGTGCGTGTGCATGCGTGCCCAAGATCCCAAGAGGAGAACGGAGGAGAAGGGAATGTGGCGTGGCCACCCCGCCTGGGGGGGGATTTCTCACTTGCTTTTTGCCCTATAGCAAAAAAAAAAAAACCTCTCCAAGGAAAGAAAAGAAAAAAAAAAGACCCTAAATACTTGTGGTTTTTTTTTTTTTTTTTTTTTTTTCTTTTTTAGAGAGAGAGAGATTTTTGCTATAGGGCATGTGCACATGCCAGAGAGACAGAGAGAGAGAGAGAGCGTGCGAGATGAAGAGACAGGAAGTGAAAAATCACCCCCCCTCCTGAGGAGATGGCCACGCTACAATCCCATCTCTCCATTCTCCTCTCGGGATCTTGGGCATGCACGCCCATATGCCCAGCATGAGTTTTATGCTGCTGGGTCCAGGACTCGAACCGGGGTCAACTACATGAGTCCAGTGATGTAACCATTACACCATCTGCTGGTCCCAATACTTAGGTTTTAAAAAGCACTGTTGGGGGTCCAGCAGGTGTTATGATGGTTAAGGGCACTGGACTCCCACATGGCTGACCATCGTTTGAGCCCTGGACCTGGTGGCTTGCTTTCTCACTTTCCCTCTTTCTCCATGTCTCTGTCTACCTTTGGTCAAATTAAAATAATAATAATTATGAATAAATTTAAATAAAAAGAATTATTAAAAATAAAAAAAACACTGGAAGGCTGGCAGATGGCATGGTGGTTAACAGCGCTGGACTCCCACATAGCTGACCACAGTTCAAGTCCTGGGCCTGGCGGCTTGCTTTCTCATTTTTCTTCTCTTTCTCTCACTCTCGCTCTGTCCCTCTCTGGTCAAATTAAAAGAAAGAAAGAAATGAATGAATAAGTAAAGTTAAATAAAATCATTCTTTTTTTAAAGAAAGCACATGCACCCTCTGGCAAAAACCAAACCAAACCAAAAGCACTGTTAGGGGCTGAGTGGTGCTATGATGGTTAGGGGCTGGCCGACTGCAGTTCAAGTCCTGACCTGGCGGCTTGCTTTCTCACTTTCCCGCTCTCTGTCTCTCTCCGGTGCGCACATATGCCCTATGACAAACTTAATAAGTATAACTAAAAATTTAAAAATATCCTTTAAAAACAAATAAGTAAAAAGCACTGTTGGGCCAGCTCCATGCCCTGGTGATTAAAGTGCCCAGATCCCACATGGCTGACTGGAGTCTTGAACCCATTGGCCTGAGAAACACGCTGGGTGTGTGTGTGCTCAAAATCCTGAAAGGGGGAATGGAGAAGAAGGGATTGAAGGATTGCAGAGTGAGCACTCCCCACGGGGTGCTGTCTCCTTTCTGTCCCTCTCTCTGGAAAGTGCACGTCCCCTTAGCATCAAAACAAACAAAACCCAGAGCTGTCATTCGCGTATCGCACCACGTCCCACAACCACTCGGCCCTCAGTCCGTGGGTCTGTTTCCCATCCCAGACTTCGGCATCGGTTCCTTCCCGCCGTCCTGCCATCCCCGCATCCGAGCCACAGCCAGACTGGCAGGGGCGGGAAAGAAAAGAACGGATCCCCTGATGGCAGCTTGGTTCTCTCCTCCCTCCCCACTTCTCCTTCCTGTCACCCAGGACAAATTCAGCTCGGCTTTTCATAATGGAGTCAGCTTGTCATCTTTTCAGGCAGCACACGAGTCTTGACTTAAGTAAAGACGGAATCTCATCACTCCAGAATCGCAGCTCAGATCTGACAGAATTTAAGCTGATAGAATTTCACTTGTTAGGGAACCAGCAGTTAGTGTAATGGCTATGTTGCTGGACTCCCACGTAGTCAACCGTGGTTTGCGTCCTGGACCCGGTGGCTTAGAACTCATGCCGGGCACGTGTACGTGCGTGCCCAAGATCCCGAGAGGAGAATGGAGGAGAAGGGATTGCGGCGTGATCATCCCCCCTGGGGGGGTGATTTCTCGCTTTCTGTCTCTCTGTCTCTCTGTCTGTCCGACGAGCGCATAGGCAAAACCCTCTAAAAAAAAAAAAAAGAATTGTTATATAAACTTTATTTTTTAAAAAATAACCACTCTATTTAACTTCACTTATTTATACACTTCTAATTTTAATTTGACCAGAAAGAGAGAGAGAGAAAGTGAGAAAGTGAGCCACCAGGTTCGGGACTTGAACCGTAGTCACCCATGTGGGAATCCAGTGCCTTTAACCACCACGCCATCTGTTATATAAACTTTAAACAAAACGTGGTGGGGCCCAATAGTGGTGCAGTGACCAGATGTGACGCTCCGTGAGGCTGGCCCACAGGGAAGGCTCTGGGTTGGCTGCTGGACACTGCCAGGCGCTCACCTGTCCATGCTGCGGGACTGGCTGGGGCTGGGGGTGGATTGTAGCATGAAGACCCTGTGGGAGGGACCAGCAGTTAGCGTAATGGCTACATCGCTGGACTCCCATGTAGTTGACTGCGGTTCGAGTTCTGGACCCGCTGGCTTAAACTCATGCTAGGTGCGTGTGTGTGCATGCCCAAGATCCCGAGAGGAGAATGGAGGAGAAGGGATTGCAGCGTGGCCATCCCCCTGGGGGGTGATTTCTCGCTTTCTGTCTCTCTGTCTCTCTCTGTCTCTCTGACGCGCCCTAGAGCAAAAACCTCTCCAAAAACAAAAAAACAAAAAGACCCTGTGGGAGAGCTCTCTGTCTTTCTCGCTCATGGGAAAAATAAATAAAATAAAATTTTAAAAATAGTTTATTTCGGGACCAGCAGGTGGCATGGTGGTTAAGGGCACTAGACTCCCATATGGCCGACTGTGATTCGAT